TGTAACGTTTTATTATTTCTTAATATTAGTAGTACGTTTAAGTACATGCTGCATCGTATATCTTATTATATTATCTATATTTAGTAAAATTAACTACAAATAGATACAGTTTTTAGGAGAGAAGTTGATTCACGATTGTTAGGGTTAAGAGCTATTGAGTGGCGAGTGCAAGGTCTTTATATGGATTAGGCTTAGCACTTTGAACTGAAAGAGTTTGCGATCTTTTACATCTTTTGCATTTAAATTAGTAATTTTAAGTTCAATAATTTAGCATAATTTTATATTTAGTTCATAATAATAATATGATTCAGTATTTAGAATGATAAACTTGTGTGATTTGTACGTAATACTACTAGTACCAGTACCACACAAGAATTTTATATTTTTCCTTCTTACTATCTTTACTTTGTAGTAAGACCCACACTTCTGTTGTTGTTGCTTTAGAATTAAAACAGTCTAACTGATATACATAAATTCTATTCTGATATTTTGCAAGTGGTTTAAAATTCAGTGTACAAGTGACAATAATAAAACCCATACTAAACACATTCGTCTCAGAATAATACAGAGAAGCTATGACATTCTCACATTTGGGGTCTCAATACACTGAAGAGCTTAAGTTTCGAATTCCAACATAAATTTTGCGTATAATGAGAGGAATGTGACCAGAACTAATCTTTTAAGTGCTGTAAAGTAAGTTTATTTGTAATTTATGGTGTCTGTATCATTTGGTAATCTTTTCTAACAGGATGTATCAAGTAACTAGGGTCAGGTGGTGTTATTCAAACCACCTGTACTGTAAACTATTACATACATTTGCTAGTAGTAGCAATTAGTTTTTTTGTTAAGTGAAACAACTTACAAGGACATATGTTGAAATAAACTTGTTTGAAAGTTCAAAGAAATGCTATTCAAGTACAGAAAAGCTTTCTTACTATCATATCTACAGTAATGTTGAAATGTGCCTGCGCTGGACTGAACGAGAGTGACCACCAACAGGCATGATAGTTTACGGCAAATGTACAGAGTTCACGCTGCTAACCTCACGATTTATTCAGCACAATAAACAAAAGTATGGCTGCAATGAAACATAAACTTGAAATAAAAATACATTTATGAAACAAAATTAAAATGTTTTTTTATTTACATATATAAACATGAAATCCTAGTTAAAAATAAAAATACTCATATATTGTTTAGGTTTACTTAAAATATTATTTTCATGTCTTGTATATTACTTGAAACCATAAGGAGAGTACATGATTATTAAAAAAATTAAAAATAGATAAAATTTGCATTTTATGGAGGATAAAAATGTTTGGGATTTTAAAATAATGTACTAAAACATAATAAAGTAATAAGTTCAAATCTGGAACAAATATAAATATCATAATCAGTTCTTTTCCAAGATATTAAAGATCATAATGCAAAAAAAAACTAAATTTATCAAATGTAACAGGCTTTGTGTTTCTTAAACTACATGCATTTATGAAAGTTCTTATGAAGTTTCAAACAGTTTCATCCATTAGTTTTATTGTTGGTATAAAATATAGCAAGACTTGAATTGGCTACTCAGAAAGTTAGTAGCCGGTGGTCATCGGGTTAATTCCCAATATCAAATTCACATCAGAACTTGATATTCACATCTCCGGGCTTTGCATTTGGAAGTTTCTGCTTTTTTTTTTTTTCCTATATTTTGTGACAGAGTGTAATGAATTTAGCCTCTGAAGCTAAGTGGCAGCAGATGATACTCAATTTTCGAGAGCCAAAACACCACAGCATTATATCTAAGAAAGTGGTATAACCGATGGCATTATAATGAGGCAGTACTGTAATCAGAATATTCTAAAAATTAAGAAAATCTTGGTTATGCTTTTTACATTATTCAAAATGTTTAATGGATAGTTTAGTTGATAGTCAAGCCATTAGATAACATTCACTTTAATAAATAAAAGAAATAATTATTTATACTTTTATTTAGTTTTACTGTTATCAGCTTCATATAACTGCTTATATAGGAAAAGCAGTTTACTGTATATATAATTGAGGCATAAATTTTACATGAAAAAAGTTGATGCAGGTTTTAGTCTGTCCATTTGTTTATTTGTAGAATTTTTGAAAAGAAGTATAGTTGAAAAATACAAAACTGTTTACAGTAATGTTATACGAGTTCTGTAATTCAGAATATTTTATCCAGTAACACTTATGGTGTGCCACTTTTTTTGTTTGTAAAGAGTTCATAACATTGCAGCTTAAAAAAGTTTGAAACTGTTAGGGAGAATATGTGCATTATCTGTGTCAGAAAATGCTTTTACAGAATTCTGGGTAATTACAGATTTGATTTCATTACTTGCAATCATGAATGTAATATGAAAAATTACTAGCCATATCTATTTAACAAATACTATAGATACATAAACCACACTTAAAATTATTGATAGAATATTTCCTTCTACCTATATTTTCTCTCCTGTAGAAGTAGTGTGTAATGTCTCCAGTGTTCAGGCACTGTCCATGTTTTCGGTCAGAGACTGATGACATTCAAGTGCTGGAGTACAGCCATTGTAGTCTAAATGATGTTCCCAATGAAGTATTTGCCTATGAAAGAACACTTGAAGAACTGTTTCTTGATGCCAACCAAATAAAGGATTTACCAAGGGTAAGCCAAAAAGATCTAATACAAGCACTTGAAGACACTAATCATTCCTCAGAATAATGCAATAAAACATTTTATTCATAATTTTCATTTTTATAGTTTGCATTATATAACCAAGTGTTGCATTGTGAAAATAGCACTTTTTGAAATTAATCACATGTACACACACACATACTAGAGCTAGGTGATTGGTGGTATTTGCTAATCGATTAATTAATGCATTTGATGATTTATTACATTTGATTGCTTGGAATTGTTCCAAACCCCCTCTCTAAACAAGCAAAACAAAAGGGGAGGGGCTACACTAGTTTCGTATCTTTGTGAACCACTGCATTATTCTAACATAGTATTAATCTTCCTATTTTTAACTGGTTATTTCAAGTAATTTTCAAATTACCACTCATTTCATATCATAACTATCTTCTAGAGGTCATCATTTCTTCTTTTTTGCTGAAAAACATATTTCAGCACAAATTGTTTTTAAAGATGATCTTGAAATATCCTACTTGGCAAATGAATGGCTAATGTTGACTAGAAATGACAATGTGGTCACCATTTGGTTTTAAAATATGCAGTAATCCCCCAAAGATCTTGTGTAAAGAAAATTCAGTTCTGACCCACTGCCCCAGGTCTGCATTTGTTTGTATGGCATTAAATACTATAGTTATACAGTTATAAATTAGAAAGATAACATGACATAAAAAAGGTAAATTTATGCCCTAAAATTTTTTTGTAACCAAAGAATTTGTGGTTGGTGCAACCAGCCAGTTGTCTTCTGTCTAGTTAGTGGATCAATGAGACCCTCAAACCACAAGCCCTCTCTAGGTGACAATGACCAAATGCTAAAAGACTTGAAATAAAAGACAAACAACAACTTATAACCCCCCCCCCCAGTGTAGCTTTGTGTTACCAACTAATAAACATAGTGGTAATATTTTGATTACTTGGACAGTCAAAATAATTGAACATAGTAATAAACAGGAACCTTAATTTCTGATATATCTTACCTCCACTCACAAAATGATTTTTCTCTATTAGTACTGTCCTCTATCAGCACAAATTTTCAATGCTCGCCAGTAGCCTTCCACCTCCCGCTTCTCATTTCCACATGTAAATGATTATGCAGCAGCTCTCTACTAGTTGGAGCACAACACAGCACCCTCTCCAAATTTGCACTCATTAATCACTTCTCAATTGGCAGTAGAACAGTACAGAAGTGTTTGTTTTTTCTCACATGTTTGTCAACTTTTTCTTTATAATACAGACTTTTCTTTAATATTTATTTACTTTTTCATGTTTGGAATTGTGAAAGGTTGCTTTTCAAACTTCTCTTTTTTTTTTTTTTTGCTTCAAGGTTGGAATTGTCACTACACACTTCCAGTTTCAGGTAGTTACAACTACCACAGCTGTTATTGATGCTCTTTATAAAGAAACATAGGCTTCTGGATTATTGGAAAATTGACTTATTGATTGGAACCCCAATTTTTAGAAAATACATGACCAGGGACAGGTTTCTCCTCCTTCTAAGGTCTTTAAACTTTGATGACCACAATCATCCATCTGAGAATGATTGAATTTGGAAACTTAGAGAAGTGTTTGCTATGATAACTTCAAGATTCAGCAAATTATTTTACCCATTCCGTAAGCCAGTGATTGATGAATTTCTAGTTTTCTTTAAATGTATGCTTGTTTTCAAGCAGTAAATACCATCAAAATGCCATCAATTTGGAATAAAACTTTTTGTTTTTTGCTGTTGTGAAACTGGAATTGTCTTAGATACCATTGTGTATACAGGTACTGACACTGACATCCCTAGAAATGACTCTCTTGGAGTCTCTGGTGCTGTGATGAAGAAGCTAATGGCAAAGTATATGGGAAAAGGGCATTTATTATACACTGATAATTGATATTCATCACCAGATTTAAGTATTTTCATGCAGGCACAAAAAACTGGAACATGTGAACAGTGAGAAAAAACCACGGCCCTTGGGGATCGACTTTGGTCGAGTGTTAGTATGCTTCATACATCTGAAAATCATGCTTATGCATTTCTTAGATCTTCATTCCCCTAACTTCTCAATGTCCATGTTTGGGGGCATTTAATGATGGTCCACTCATGAGATAAAGTCATGAGATCTTTATTTCCAAAGGTTGCATCTGCTCTACTGGGCTCACAATCACCACATCAGATTATTAGCAACTCATATTACAGGTCGCATGAATCTGGTCATGGATTGAATATCCCTCCACCTCCTCCAGTGGCTTGCCTTGCTGTCACTCCTACTGAGTACTGCCAGGATTGCCGGCAGCCATCAATATGCCATATTCACGACCTCACCACAGCAAAACAAAGGTAGACAAATGATGTTTTTTCTTCATAGCCCATTGCTCTGCATACTCTTCTTGTATTTTACAAGAACAAAATATGTTTTTAGTAACCTTTATGTTTCAGTGTTTATTGTACACATGAGGATATCATTAAATTCCCTTTGTCGCATCTAATGGGTTAACCCTTCCATGGGTTTTCACTCCTAGATTGTGGATGACAAAGGTCGACATGCCAGATGCCTATCTACACATTCCCATCTCCCAGGCATCTCGGCATTTCCTCCATTTTGTTTATCGGGGGCTCTACCAACTGGCCTGGCTTTGGCTCCTTATGCCTTCTTCCAAGTAGTCAGGTCATTTGCTCAACTGTTTCATGCCAGAGGCCTTTGTTTCCACTATTATATATTATATAGAAGCTGTAGATTCCCTCAGTCAAAACTGTAAGGGATATTACCTGTATGCAATATCCTCCTATTCGTCGTCCTCCATGGGTCCTTTTATTGAATCAGACCACTCTGTGTCGGATGCTCCTGGTGACTCTGTTTTGGCCTGCTCAGTCATGTTTTCTGCCTCTGTGCAGACTTTCATTGTCACCTCCCTTTCCTTTGCCATTGTCTCCCATGTCAACCTCAATCAGGCATGCATCATCTATCCATTCCTGCCGTCCGGCTTCGTGGTTGGCTTTTGTCCGGTCCCTCACCAGACCATTTGGATTTTCCAGGTGTGTTGCTTCATCGATTGCCAATCCTATACATCGTTCCTCCTTGATGGTTTATCAGAGTACATGGTATACTTTCTGCTGCTGGTCACTCTGCCAGATATATCATCATTCACAACTATCCCTACTGCTGTTGACTGCATTTTTCACTTGGCTCTTTGATAGGGGACTGTCAGTTTCCTCAGTTGCCATCTATCGAGCTGCATTGTCTTGAAAGTTCAGATTTACTCAGTTTGCCTCTGTCTTCCAAACTCCCATGTTGTCTTTGTTAATTTGTTAATTTTCCATTTCCCGTTCTCTCCACCCTGTGTTTATCCCGAATTGGAATCTCATTGTTGTCCTTCATGTTCTCACTCATCCTCTATTTGAACCTTTATCTTCATTTTCCCTGTATTACCTTTCCTTAAATCCCTATTCCTTCTATTATTGGCTTGTGGCTGGTGGTGTTTTGAGATCTTTGCTATTGATGCTCACCATGTACTTTTCCACAGTTCCTATGTTTTCCTAGTCCCTGACTACTTGTTTATGCCGAAGACTTCTACTGATAGGGAAGATAATTCCACTTTTTTCTTCCATTTCCCATATTTATGACCATTCAGATTTTGACTACCTCCTGTGTCTAGTCCGGGCCCTCTGATGGTATCTCACTCACACTTCCGTGGTTCCCATAACCATTTGTTTATTCTGTGGAATCCTTCTGTGTCCTGGAGCCTCTTCCCCATTACCCTCACAGGTTAGATTTGTCAATTAATAAATCTGGTGTATTCTTCCCTTTCACCTGAGATGTGTTGCCTTTTTAGGGTCTCATCTTATCAAATCCATCACTTCTCCATGTACCTGGCTGTCCATTTCCACCTTCAATTGGAGGTCATCATGGCTGGTATGTGGACTAATCCTCATGCCTTTGTTTCACATTATTTGCATCATGTGGTCATTTCTTGCTCAGTGGTTTTTTGTTTACTTCCAGTGTTCTGTAGCACTATGCTGTATTAATATATTTATATCTGACAGATTGCTTTTTCCCACATGGCATTCCTCCTTCCTACCACCCTTTGGATGTACATTTCTGGTGTTGGTTTGAGATGGTCCGGTCACAATTAGAATCATGTGTCGATGGCATGATGCCCTTCCTACCGCAGACCTGATGTACAATTTCAGGTACCACCAGGTTTTGGTTGAAGTACTCCGCCATGTCACAACCATATATATGTTGCAGTTTGTCCCTCAGGCTGAGATGTTCCTCCGACCTACCATTCCTGGTGAGTCGGGTGTTGGTAAGTCCAGGTATGTAAGTCCTCACATGTGTTCTGGCTGCTATCCCTCCTCCTACCATGGACTGGATGAAAAATGGTCAATGCCTCCAGGCTTTGGACTAGAGAAGCACCCCAGGTTTGCAGTCCCTCTTCATACTGTCTGCTGGTTGTCATTTACCAGCAGATTTGGTGATGGTTGTAGTTGGATGTAGCCCATGTATTCCAACTTGTGTATGGTCAGGTATCCTCCTCCTACCACAGACTGGAAAAAACATTCCCAATTCCACCTGGTTTGGACCAGAGATGTCATCCCACCAGGTCTTTTCACCTTCCTACTATCTGTTGGATGTCAGTTTGTGGTGGCTCAGGTGTTGGTTGGTTTGAAAATGCATGCAAGTGGAGACAGATTTTGGTACAGAAGCTTGTCTTCACTGCCAATTTCCATTTTGAGGTGATCCTCTGCCTACCATGGAACTGATGTACAATTCCAGGTGTTGGATGAGGTCAAACTACCACCACTGCTGTCTCTCTTGCCCTAGCCACTCAACACCCATTAATAGGCATTATGTATTATGGGATTTCTTCATGTTTTTCCACCTTTTACGTTCACGACACAGTCATGAAAGAGTGAATAGTATACCTTTAACAGCTGTGCAGTCTCCTGCTGAGGTGTAATATTTTCTTTTTGGGTTCCACACATCATGGTCTCTGTTTGGGTGCTTCCTAAAGGGGGATAATTTTTTTCACCAGCCCTCCACCAGTACAATGTGGGATTCTAGCTATTTTGTGAGGAAAGTATCAGAAGGTAACATTTTACTAAACTGAAAATTTATTTCTGATACATACTTACATACTTTCACATTTCCCACCCAGCCTCCCCACTTCCAGTTATATGTGGTGTAGGTCTTGTGACCAATCTTGAAGTGATTAACGAATGCAACTGTGGAGAGGGTGCTGGTTACAATATAAGTTGTGGTCCTATTGGTGGAGAGTTGCTGTATTATTATCTACATGTGGATATGCAGAAGCAGGAGGTGGAAGGCTAGTTGCGAGCATGGAAAATTTGTGCCGATAGAAGGCAGTACTAATCGGGAAAAGCTATCTATCAGAAATACATTTTCAGTGTAGGAAAATGTTACCTTCAATTAAATGATACTTTTTTGTACCAGTCAATTTAATGGTAATAATTGTTAAAATAAATGTAAAAAATATTTGTCATAAATACCATATTTTCAGATTTGTTTTTATGTTTTCAAAATATTTTTTGCATGATATACTGTTAGATTTGTGGGTTAGATGTTGTATATAATCAACTCTCATTTTTGTTATGTTTCTCATCTCTTAAAAATCCTGCTAATTCATATTATTTATCACAAACATTATTTATCAGAATTAATTGGCTGTAATTTTCATGTTGTTTTCTATATATTTTGATAACTACATTATATAAATTAGCTGAGGGTCTCATTAAGGAGGCAAAAATTGTATAAAATATAATGTTAGATAATATTCCCTTTCCATCTTTCTTTTATTATTAAATTCCTAATGATGTCATTAGATGCTAATTGAATACCCTGCTTTGTGGAAAATAATAGACTCATTTAACTGATTAAGATTTGTGCTTTTAAATTTAAAACTAAAAGTCTATAAAAAAAAAGTGGAAATGTGCCCTGTTTCAGGGTGTTTTATCCCCCCTTCTCATGCAAAAAATCCTAAAACAAAATAGCCCACATACACTGTCGGACAGTTTCCATTTACCATACAAAAAATTTAAGTAATCAAGCTATCCAACTCTGGATGATGGGTGCTAACATACACACACATGAAAGATCATCTTTATAATAAGATGGTTATTTTAAAAAATGAGTTCACTTGAATATTAACAAAAACAAAGAGAATGGTCCTTAGCTGATATTTCAGTTCTTGATCTCAAATATATTTTTTGTATAATTAGTTACTGAAAGCTGCTGTTTAAGGAATACTTGGCAAATGTGTGTTCAACTCACCCTACCATGACTACTTTATTTACCTACAGAAGACTTTTTTTCTAAAAAGGATAAATTAAGTTGTATGTTTTTATGAAATACTCTTATTTCTGTTTAACTGTAAAAAAAAGTTTACAAACTATATGCATACTAAAAAATAAACATTTATATTTATATATATATATGTATATAAACACACATATACACACTTATCATCAGTGGTCCAGATAAGATTCTTATCCATAGAAGTATGCTTTTTTTAAATAAAAAATGCATTAGAAGTAAAAACCATGGGTAACAAATGTATGTACTATTCACCAGTACATATGTCATTTACGTATATATATATACGTGTGTATTTGCCAGATTGAAAGAAACAAGCACCTGTGTGTATTGGTAATAAAATAAACACAAATAATAGGATATTATTCTAACTGTAAACTGATCAATGAATCATACAGCAATTTTTAGGACTTGACATAAATTTTCCTACATCAAATCCTACAAGTTGTAGGATTATAATATAATAATAATAATATCTCTTTCATTTGCTCTCCTAAGCAGTACCAAAGAACTGTGATTCAATGAAACTATAGTCTACTACAGAAAGAGTATCATAGCAAACAATAGATTAGGTCTCTCTGTCAATTATGGATTCTTTGTTTTCTTCACTGAAGTTACAAGTATGAGTGAAAAAAAATAAAAATCACAAATGAGTCATACCAACAAAATGTTTACTGTATTAAATTTATGCTGTAATTGCCGTGAGTGGTCATTAATAGGATGTTAATAAAGAGATATGAATAGCAACCTCCTAGTAAACACAACAAAACAGCACCAAAATATCAGGTGTTGGATGATGAAAAAATATACAAGTTTTCAGCATTGAGGAGTAAACTACTTGTTATGTCAATAGCTTATCTGGAGCATTATATCATATTTATATATCATAAAAAATCATTTGAGGTAAGAGAGTATAAAGTAATATTACACTAGTATTGTTTTGTTGCAGAACAAGTGACATAAACCTTGAAAGTTTTATGCTCCATAAACAAATATTTATGATAACCACACCTATTTTAATATTACTATTTATAGTCATTTGCTCTTATAAATAGATGTTATAGTGGTTGTATTTAGTTCTTGAGATTCATCGAATGTCAAAATAAAAAATTTTATAAAAAGGCTGAAATTTCATAAACCTGGATAAGGATATATATATATATATATTCAAAGTTTTAGCCTCTTTATAACAAATTAAGTACAATATTGTAACTTTCACTTTATAGACTTTATTCTTTAGATTTTAGGCAAAAAATTATGTAAGCTTTTTACATTTCATTTTTTACCTTTCTGATTGGTCATCTAACAACAGCATTCATCATAGTATTTTATAAAATATATCTATCTATTTTATTTAATTTGTATCTTTTCTTTTTCTGTTTGAAATAATCTTCTCTTTTGTAAAATGCTATTGCTCTTTAAGAAACTCTAATAATTTATTAAGTTATTTTAGAATGTTTTATGTTCTGTTTTCACAAATTATGAAGACAGTTTTCAACATTAAATCACAATAAAACTGATGATAATTTATTACTGGCACTATACTATGTAATAAAGGACTAGTAAAGAAAAGATTTGTAATATATTATTGTCAATCTTATTGTGGTGTAATGTCGCATAAACTACCAATCATGCTTCATCAGCATAAAGGCATTATATATCGTAATAAAAAATAGTGTGTTTGAACATGTGGAAGCTGTTAAAAATGTCCTTTATTACAATGATGTATTTAGTTATGTCTAAAAACAAAAGAATTATTACAAGTAACCTGGTAACAAAATACATGTGTGCTAACCTCAGATTGTATTGTAAGCCATTTGATTTTTTTTTCTGTACTAAAAATAGGTAATAATTGTAAACTTAGTTATTTTTTTAATATCAAGAAATCCTTAAGATTTGTTTTCAAGGACTTGCAGACGTATATTTCTTTGGTTGCAAAACATGGAATAGATGAATTAGATAATTCTACATTAAAGCAGATTTTATGTTTATGCATTTCTAAACTTTTTTTGTTTTTTATTACAGCCATTGTTTCACTGCCATGGGTTAAGAAAGTTGGTGCTTAGTGACAATGAAATTCAGTCAATACCTCCAGCAATAGCATCACTAATTAACTTGGAGACCCTAGACATCAGCAAAAATGGTGTGCATGCTCTTTTTAATTCCAGAAATCAGAAGAGTCTATTGTTTTAACAATGCATCTACTTATTGTTCAGTTGTTATGCCATTACATACAATTAAACTGTCTTTTTTTCTACTAAAAATCACTTTCTAGAAAAAAATTAATTGTATTTTCAGTTTTTAGGGTATTGTTACAAAGAACTTAAGAACAATTTCAGAGATTATTTATGTTGAAGTTTTTTCAATAAATGTTATTGCTGTTTAAGCAAGAAAATCATTTAGTTGTAAATAATTCAATTATTTTTTGGTTTATGGTATTAAAACAAAATGTATTTAATGTCATTTTTTAAGGGATTCTTGAAATTCCTGATAATATCAAAGGATGTAAGTGCCTTCATGTGATTGAAGCCAGTGTCAACCCTCTTGGAAAGTAAGTTGAATTTTTGTCTCATTGGCTTCAAATTTTCAACTTTATAATTAAATTGTATTTGAAAAAATTTTTCATAGTGAATAGTTTTAGTGGATATTTGACAATATTCTGATTTCTGTGTTGATTGTCTTTGATTCATTGTTTATTGTTAATAGCCTTCTCTGTTCTTCAGTTTTTATTAATGAATTATCAGTTATATATATATATTTTAGCAAAAAAATTAGAAACTTTAAAATTAAAAATTCTAATGGTAACCAAATTACATTTATAAAAATTCAAATTATTTTTACTAATATTCTTATTTCTTTGTGCAGCATGTAATAAATGGTGTATATTCTACAACATTAAACAATATAATATCATGATGCTAAAGAAAAACTAGAAAAAGTATAAAAAAATTGTCTCACCTAACCATATATATGTATTCTTAAGTACTAAGGACATTTTTCCCCCCTGTTATACCAGGATGGTGAGAACATTCCTAGACATTATATCATGTCAAGCATTTTAACTTGAATTTGTGTTTGTTTTATAGTATCAACTCAAGTCAGTAAACAGTGCAATGTTATACTTTGTTGTTATAGTGGTGACTAGAGACTAGTGTTTTTACCGTGTACCCACCCGTCATGACTGTTCTAAATTTACTGCCCAGTTCTTAAAAAAAAGTTATGCAAATTTTAAGTCAAAGTAATATAAACAGAGCTGCAGATAAACTATTATTTTTAAGAGAAAACAGTAAGCAAAAATCAGAAACAAGTAAAAAGGTCACAACACAGAGAGTGAAAATGAAAGTGGAAGCAATTATAGTGATACAGACTCAGATTGAATTCTAGTGGCGGGCCAATGACATTTTACCTTTTCCACTGACAATAATAAACATAGGAGACACAGAATCAATTAAGTAAACAACAAATTTTGAATAGTCCATTTAAAATTTTTTTTGTTAAATGATTACACAGGCCTGCAAATTTAAACTTCATAAAAGTTGTCTTGGTTTTACTAATGGGTTTTCCATGATTCAGCTATGCTGATTTCGAAAATAATATTCACTTTTTTTTCTATCATGTAAGGGTTTTTTTACAAATGTGGAAGAAAAAAAATTACTTAGATGAAATTATAATTTCATTTACCACAATGAACATTTTTTATTATTTGTTTGTTTACAAAAATACAAAAAAACTAAAGAAAAAGGAAGAACATTGATGTCAAATGAATATGGATCCTCATTCATCCTGATTTTTTTAATGAAAAATACATCTTTTAGTCTCAAAATTATGTGTATTGTGATCTTTCTTTTATGTATTGTGTTATGCCTTTTTGTGAAAAATCTGTATGTGATAGAGAAAAATGTATATCATTTTCGGATTAAGCATACATGTACAAATTTCTAGACAATAACACCATTGCAGGCCTGTGTTATCGGCTGATTCACTACATCTAATTGGCTCATAGTTATCGCCATTTTGTAGCACAGCATTCTAGGACAGAAATGCTGCCTATCACTCCTAGGAAACTTTCAAACCTGATGACTGTGTAGTTTGTAATAGTAAATACTGTAAATTATTGTATCAATATAAATATATCTTTCCCAAAGTTTCTATATTTTTGTATAACTAGGTTAACTTGTTGCTGCTGCTCATCATAATTCAAGATATTAGGATGTGGCGATTGTTGCTGTAGAATTATTGTTTCGAGTTAAATAAGAAACTCGCACACTAATCTTAATGGGGAATTATCAAAGTTTTATCTTTGAAATTTATGAGGTAAGCTCCCGCCATTGATTGTGCTAACTTTTCTGATAGTGCAGGTGTACTCAACAGTAATATAATCTCTCAGTGTGTTATAAGAACAGGTGGCTGTAGATGCTGTAACATCCGTACGTAAACATACGTATGTACAACCTAAGTGTCGTCATGTACAAATATTGCCTGCACATCATGGGTATTATGTAATGACAGTCAGCCAGGGAGAACAGTTAAAGATTACTTTGTTTCATTACCAGTATCAATAAGTTAATAATATCCAATCAAAGAAACAGTTGGAGGCTTTATACTTTAATATCAATTTCATGACCACTAAATCAGTGCTCATTACTGATTGGTGAAAAGTTAAAAAAATGGAGAGATGTTTGTTTGAATTTGTTTCAGTACCTCATGCATAGTAGTGAGAATACATACAGTAATCTATACTTTGCAGGCCTATACTGTATTATACACAATGGCTGCAGAAAGCTTTGGGGTGAACATTGTTTTCATCTTTCATTTATAATTATGTCATTTACTGTTTTCTTTTACTTTTCCATCCAAACATTCATAACTTTCTATTATCAACAATTTTAAATATGCTTTTGCTAAAAAAATAAAGACAACATTGCACATGAAGAAAACTTCAACTGTGTGGCAACGTGGTTCATATTGTCTTGTCTTCTGCATGTTAAAAATTGTTGTGTTGATAGTGGTCAGAAATTTTTGGGCACCAGGATACCCGTCCAAATTACCCATTCTGATAAGATTTTTGGTACCTGTTCAAACACTACTAGGCACACAAAACTGATAAATAATGTCATCTATAAAAATATACATTCTCTTCAGCAGTTATGGTCTAAGATGAAGCTGAAAGTTAGTAATTTTTTTATCATTAATAATACAAACTTTTTTTTTACTTTCCAGATTGCCTGAAGGACTGACACAGTTGATTAGCTTAGAAGAGCTCTATTTAAATGACACCTTTTTGGAATATCTTCCTGCTAACTTTGGAAGGTTGGTATATTATTACAGTTGTCCTGCTAACTTTGGAAGATTAGTATATTATTAGAATTATTTAATAACATTTCCATCTTTTCCCATCATTCTAAATAGAGTTGAGAATGTCGTTGGCTTGCCTATCATTCATACGTGTAATTTCGTTTTATTTAATAGAGAATGTAACCAAACACAAGATATAAAAATATAAGGCTGCACATATCAAAACATGACCATATCGATACCATAATAAGGCACATTTGTTTGTAGTGACAAAATAATATTAGTTTTGAATTGCTAGTGTGCACAAGAAGTTAATAAATTCAGTTCAATGTATCATTCTGCTAGTTTAAAATGTTATGATGATTATTTACAAAAAGAAAGTGTGATTTTGAATGTCACATCTGTTCAGAAATTGTGGAATTTGCTTAAGTTTTTATTACGTAGGAAGGAATACTGGATGTTTTTAGATTAGATGGGAATATTTCAGATTATCTAAGATCAGGATACTTGAACTCCGAGAAAACCACCTAAAGATCCTTCCAAAGTCCATGGTACGTTTGACTGAGTTGACAAGACTGGATATTGGGCAAAATGATTTTACTGATGCAGTAAGTAGTGTATTTTTTTTTTTATTGTATTAGTTGAACAATGAAGTTATTATGTAGGTATGTTTCTTAATTTGTAATGATAATGTAAATATGAAGTAGGTGAATGTGATAATT